ATTTTCTAGGAAAATGAAATAATATAGTAGCTATTGTTCATTTTCTGTTACTTGGTTCTGAATGCCCTGTAATACTTTCATTCTCTTGAATGGTTTTAAAATATTTTATTATGTTTGATACTATTGTATGTGAAGTTATGCTCAACTATTTCAAAGAAAGAGACATTATGGTAGCTACTATTAATATCGGGTTGTCTTGTGGTGAAATACTGTGTTGCTTACATTGTTCTCTTCTGAACTGCTTTGTTACATCCTCTTTTGTTTTAATCTCTTTAAAGTAAAAAATAATTTAAAAAAAAAAAAGAGAACTACAGACCAATCTCTTTAAGGACCTTAGACACAAAGATACTCCGAAGGGATCAGGCTTGGTGGCACATTCCTATAATCCCAACACACAGGAGGCTGAAGCATTAGAATTTCTGGGAGTTTGGGGCTAACATGGGCTACAGAGTGACTTCAAGAGCAGCCTAAATTACATACCCAGACCCTGTTTCCCAAAAAAAAGTTAAAATTAAAAAACCCTCAACAAGATGCCAGCAAACACATTGTAGCAAATCATCAAAGGGATATATCATGATGGACTAGGATTCACTCCAGGAACACAGAGATGGTTTAACATATTGTCTTAGTTAATTTTCTCTCATTGCTGAGACAAAACAACCAACATTATTTAACTCCCAGTCTGTGGAGGTTTTGGTCCATAATTGGCTGGCTCTAAGGCAAGGTGATGTGGCAGAATGGCAGCTTCCTGATGCCAAAGATACCAAAACAAAAAGTGTAGAAGATGACTTGGAAACCTCTCCTTGAATGCAGAACAATTACTGCAGCATTGGGTAAATCAAGTCTTATTTTTATATGCTGATGTGTATAGAGCAGGCTATGCTATTTTATTTTTTTAATTGGCTCTAAGCAATGTAAGTAAGGCTAGGCAAGTCACTGATAGGTAGTGCTTGAAGCCAATCTGATAGTTTTTTGTTTTTTCACATAGTGTTCTCTGTAAAGGATTGAGCACAGAGGAACAGCAGAACCAGTAGGCTCTAAGAATGGCAGCTGGATATGAGCCTCAAAGTAAGAGGCTATGACTTCGCAGGGCACAACAGTATACATATCAGAAACTAAAACAACAGCCTCCTAAAACCCCCTAATTGAGTTATGCACATTGATCTTCTGCTGTCATTTTCCCCGCATATTGCAAAGATGCTTTCTTCCCCACCCAGCTGCCCAGCTCCAGTTACTCACATAGTTTCTGCCTTCCTCACTATCACTCATTTTGGAACCACTCCCTTCTTCACAAGATAGGAAATATTGAGAGAGGCCTTGGGTTAGGGCCTTCGTCTATATGTCCTCTCTTGGGTGGGACTTAGTAGCCTGTAGTTGCCCATAACTTTGAATATGTCTTAATGTCTTTGCTCTCGTCATGGTTACACTGAAGATAGTAGATTCAAATTAACCCACTGGAATTTTAATAACTTTTATGAGATTACAAATATAACTTTTCAGATTATGAGATGGATTAGAAAAAGAATTACAATATTTGCATTACAATAAATAAGAAAGGAACCGGCCTCTTTCTGTCCCTTATATTGTATACAGGTTACTTGCTTTAGTTTAAAGAATCAAAGAAATAGACATCTGTAATAAAGAGATGCTTCTCAGGTGAGGAAATACAACTGTCCAATGGATACATGAAAAAAATGTTCAGTATCACTGGTCATTTGAGAAAGGCAAATTAAAACATTAATATTCCATCTCACTGGGTGTGGTGGGTTAGGACTATAATCCCAGCACCCAGGAGGCTGAGACAAGAAAATTGCTGTGAGTTCCAGGCCAGCCTGGGCTAGTTAGATTAAGGCCACCCTCAACTACATAGTGAGACCTTGCTTAAAAAAAAAAATTCTACCTCACCCCAGAAACAATGGCTACTATCAAGGAATCAACCACTAGCAAATCTGGCAAGGCTGTAGGGAGAAAGGAACACTAATTCATTGCTGGTAGGATTATGAACTGATAGAACTATTGAAATCAATACAAAGGTTTCTCAAAAACTAAAAATAGAAATTCCATTTGACCCACATATTCTCCTTTTAGATATCATCCCTAAAAGAGTTAAAAGCATCATACCACAGTGACGTATGTACAGTGATCTATATACAGTCCCCAACTCACAAATGAATTTTATTCTAGAAGAATGTTAATAAGTCAGATTCATTTGTAAATTTAACAAAATGAGTCTTATATACTTTGGACACAAATATACAATGTATAGCACAAAAAACAAATTTACACACAAAAATACTGTAAGTTACCAACTGCATGATATTATTGTACTCTATAACACTGTATAGTAAATGCACAGCAGCACAACTGTGACATCTCCCAGACGTGTGAGTTGCTTCCACAATTTGTTCACGACTATGAATGTTTGTAATGCGAGGTCTGTTCATATCTATGAAAGTTTGCAACTTGAATGTTCATTAAGATTACATACTGAGGGCTGCGGATTTAGCTCAGCGGCATAAGCACCTGCCTTGCAAGCTGGCGATCATGAGTTCAATCCCCAGTACCGATAAAAAAAAAAAGATTACGTACTGATGTTTATAGCAGCACAATGCATAACAGCTAAATCTTGGAAACAGCCTGGGAAATGTCTCCACCAATAGATGCATGGATTAAGAAATGTGGTATTTATACATAATAATATCACAAGATGAATTTGGGCCAGGGAGATAGCTCAGTGTCACAACACCTGCCTGGAAAGCACAAGTTGAGTGAGAATTTGATCCCCAATACCAAAACAAAAAAGAAAAAAGAAAGAATGGGGGGTTGGGGGTTTAGCTTAGTAGTCTAAGTACCTGCCCTAGTAAGAGCACAGTCATGAGTTCAATTCTCAGTACCAAAAAAAGAAAGAAAGAAAGATGAACTTGAGACACCTGTAGGAAAATGATTGCACTTGAGACCATAATGTTAAGTGAAGTATATAAGATACACAAGTTTGAACATTACATGACTTGCCTCATATGAAAGTTAGTAGGAAAAAGACTGAGGAGAGAAAAACTTATTGTATTTTAAGTATGGTTTTACTGTCAGTTTCTAATTCATCTATAACATGGTATAAGATATTACTTTACTGGATTTCCATTTCCTTGGATATGTTGAAGTCTTTATTGTTACTATGAAAATGATCTATTTTGAAAGTTTTAAAAATTTCCAAAATAGGGGTTGGGGATTTAGCTCAGCGGCATAAGCAACTGCCTTGCAAGCAGGCAGTCTTGAGTTTGATCCCTGGTACTGATAAAAAAAAAATTCCAGAATAGGGCCAGGAATATAATTCAACAACATAAGTGACTTTCTGGTAAGCTCAAGGTCATGAGTTTGATCCCCAGTACTGAAAAAAAAAAGTAATAGATGAATCTAGGACTAGGTGAGTCTCACTCAGTATTTATTCAGCCCTCAACACATCACCGGTCCATGTCACAGAAGCTGGAATACAATCAAGGCAAGAAAGGCCCATATCCTAAAGGAGCTCCCAACTACACACAGGGAAACAAGAGCAAAACTGTGAAAATAATGGCAGTGCGTGGGAGGGAGGGGCTCAATAACCCCATAACCTCTTGCTCTGTCTAGGGGAGGAAAGAAAGAAAAGAACAAAGAAAGAAACAAAGAGAGAAAGAGAAACAGCTGCAAAAATGTACATGCCAGAGCTGGGAATTAACTCAGCTGCATAAGCGCCTGCCTTGCAAGTGCGCAGTCGTGAGTTCCATCCTTGGTATCAAAAAAAAAAAATAAAAATGTAGCTGCCAGAGGATGGAAGGGTGGTGACGAACATGTGGAGAACAGAGATTTTTGCTGAGTATGAAACTCCTCTACAGTATACTACTGTGGTAAATGCAAGTTATTATTCATTTGTCCAACCGAAAGAACTGCACAGCACACAGTTAACCCTAAAGTACACTATGCAGTTTAGTTAACAATGACACATAAATATTGGTTCATCAGTTGTAGCAAGTGTATAGCTCCAAAGTAAGATGTTAATAATAGGGGAAAATAGGAAGTCTAACCTTTCTTTTTTTCTTTATTTTAACAAGGATAAAACTAAGGAAGATAAAACAGATAAAACCAATCAAAATAAGTTTCTGCAAGTAATACAGGATTTCAAAACCTTATGAAATTAGCAACAGTTACCATCATGCCTTTTGTTGTCCTCAAAATAGCTGCAGATAAGAAATCTGACCTCTCTGCCTACTTTCTGTAAACCTAAAATTGCCTACAGAAATAAGGTACATTAATTTTGAGAATGCATAAATGTGTTTACATGAAATATTTTTTAAAAGCTTCAAGGTGACCAAAGCCTGACTTTACAGAATGCCTATATTTCAGTAGTAATAAAGGGCAGACAAAAAAGTCTTTCTGTTTGTTTCTTTGTTTATGATACTGGGAATTAAACACAGGCTCAAATCAGTTCTTGAAAATTCTTCAGCTGGGCATGGTGGTGCATCCCTCTAATCCAAACACTCTGAGAAGCAGGAGGAACACAAATTCCAGTCCAACCTGGGTCAAGTGAGTAACTTAAACACACAGTGGCTCAAAATTTTTAAAAAGGCTGAAGATGTAGCTCAGAAGAAAGACCCGGGCTCAATTCCTAATACTGGACTAAGAAAGGAAGAAAGAGAGAGAGACAGAGAGAGAGAAAGAGAAAGAGAGAGAAGAAAGGAAGGAAAGAAAACAAGGAAGGATGGAAAAAAGAAAGGAAGGAGGAAAGAGAAAGAAAAGAGAGAAAAAAAAAGAAAGAAAAAAGGAAGGAAGGAAAGACAAAAGACATTTCTTCAGACATAAGCAATTGAGACTGTATTCTTTCTGCAAGATGAGACAATAGTCTCATATCTATCAAATTCTTTTTTCAATATAAACATTTTAATAAAATAAAATTCCACAATGTTATTTCTTCAAATGTCAAAGTCTCCCTTTTAAGCCCTGCTTTTGATACACGCACAGCCTATGACACTGCATCTTTGTGACATTCTTTCCTACCTCTGTCCCCCACACGCTCCTTTACCCACTCGGTGGCTGCAGCGATGCTCTCTGTCTGGGTGACATCCAGGATCACTGTCTCCAGCCGTTCTGATGCCCGCTTCCTCAGTTGCTCTGCCCCTTCTTCTGTCAGACACGCGGCCAGCACCCTCAAGCCTCTCATGTCCAGCTGTCTGGCCAGCAGGTTCCCGAAGCCCGAGTCACAGCCCGTGATGAAGACATACTTGTCTTGGAGGTGGCTCACCACCTGCCTCTCCCGGTATCAGCGCACAAAGTGTACAAGCCCACGAGGGCTGCCAGGTACAGCAACATGACTTTACAGGAACCAGGAACAGGCACAGTGTGCAAGACAAGAGTTTGTTCTGTGTTCAGCCGGAAGGAAAAGACAAAATGCGATCCCACTCTGCTGTAGAGTGAGGCAGTCTCCAAACAACCTAGTGTGAAATCTGTGATTACTTTTTAATCATTGGCTTTTTAATCCTGCCCCACCTCTCTACACCTTGATCTGCTTTTGGTTTGTGATTTGTTTGTTTGGTTTGGTTTTTTTTTTTTTTCCAGTATTTTTTTATTTGGGGAGTTTCTTTTCATTTGTTTTCTTTCCGTATATTAATCTTTTTTTTGAGGCAGGGTCTCACTACGTAGTTCAGGCTCATGTACCGCTTTGCCTCGTGGACCCCTTTTGTTATATTCATAAATGGATGCCCTTGAATGTCCCATACCCTGTCCAAGAAAAACATGACTAGTCAGCAGCCTGTCACTAGTCCATAAATATCTCTCTGTCTTGCTGTGCCTCTACAGTATCCATGTAATACTCCTATAGCACATGCACCTCTCTGATCAGGGTCAGGGTATCTACTCAGGTCAGCACCGTGCATCATGGACCTCCTGAATACAGACAGGTTTTGGCAAACTACACTTGGAAGGAGGACAAATTTATAATGAGTTTTTTGTCTCAACCCAGAATACTTCCTCAGGAAATTAAAACACTTCTATTTTCTGCAATACTACTCAAGAAGATCAGATGAGTAGACACCAAATGGTGCCTTTCAGAAATAAGAGCTACCTGGAAAAAAGGAGTTGGAACCCCAAAAGGGATTCTGGGGTCTGAAGCAAAGAAGGAGGTGAAAAAGGGGTGGGGGAGGGAGAGGAACTCCCAGGAATAAAACTTCTAGAGCTCATGGAAGGCTGGAATAGAATGACTTCCACGAAGCATGTGTAACAGTAATAACATTCACCTACCGAAGAAGGCCTTTCCCCAGCTAAATGGATGCAGGTGGACATGACTGCAGCCATCTTGGATCATAACCACCATGACTGCCCCAGAATAATCCTAGCTGGCTTTTCCTGTGTAGTTTCTAGCCAAATTATAAGTAGATGAAACTATTAGAGTGGTATGAGGAGACCAGGGCTTTACAATATCCCTGACTCTTTGGTGACAGCTTGAGTTAAACCAAGTCCACTCCAGCTAACAGGAAGCAAATTTTGTCTAACCCATACATATGACACAAATTGGAGGGATCAAACCAGTTTTGCTGCCCAACAAGACCACCCTTTGGCTTGTTGATAAGTCCCCCTTACACTCTTTGCAACCCCAGATCTACCTGCCTCTGCTTAGTCATATGGCACCTCAGGGCCTGTTCTCACACATTAGGACTAACTTGTTCCAGGTACCTATAACATTCCCTCCACTTTCCACTGTGGGGCCTCCCCTACCTGCTCACACATCCAGAATCCAGTACTCGCAGAACTAAGGAACTAAAAGCATAAAAGACTCCATTGAAGAAGTACTACAGAGACAGCAGGGCTCCCTGAGTCTTGGCCCACTCCTGTCTGCCTCAACCGTAACTGCTGGAAAGGTGAGTTCAGCATGCAGCAGGGAAGACATGGGAGAGCCTCCCCTGAGGAGACCAAAGGCAAGGCTGAAAACTGGACTTCACAGGCTGGGGATTTAGCTCAGCGCTTGCCTTGCAAGCAGGCAGTCATGAGTTCAATCCCCGGTACCAATTAAAAAAAAAAAACTGGACCTGACAGCCATGGCCTGTGGAGGGGCTCTCAGTGTGACACAGAGGATGCCATTTCACAAGAGCGAGGTCAGACAGGATGCTAAGGGAATTAGGAGGAGCAGAGAAGCCAGAGTATTAGAGCTCTGGCCTGCTCCTATCAACCAATCTCTGATACAAAATAATAGAATAAGAGACCAATTTTCAATGAGCAATTTCCTAGAGAAATCTGAAGCTTTATCCATGACACACGCCAGAAGAGAGACAACACTGTACCCATCCAGTTCTGCCTTAAGAGCTAAACATTTTGTTCTCAGCAATGAACTGACTAAAGACCTGGAGGGTTTTAGCCTTCTAGTGGTGCCTCTCTCCTGTCCTGCATCTGTTCTGCTCCTGCTGCTGTTCATGCTGGGGTTTAGAGTCTGCCAGGAATCTCCCTCTAGGGCATATTAAATCCACAAGGAAACAAGGACCTAGAAAATTCTCAACAGCCTAGGGGCACCTACAAATACACAATCAGTGAAGGGAAGTCTCAGGGTTTAGAGGTCTGGAAAAAAATTGAAAGTGTTTGCTTCATGATGGCAAGTTTCTTCAACAAAATTCCCAAGGACATTCGTGCACGGTGACATTTGTCAGTACTTATAAATGCTCCTCTGCTGTCACTCATGCTGAGAATAACATGTCTTCTTGCTGGGGGATAACAGGTTCCCAGAACCCTCCGGGTTCTGCAGCAATCCCTAAAAGTTTTGTTTATTGTTGCTGTGTGTTTTCTTTTCTTTTGTTTGTTTTGTTTTGCTTTGCTTTGCTTTGCTTTATTTTGTTTTAGCTCTGTAGTCTAGGCTGGTCTCAAATTCACTATGATTCTCATGTCTTGGGCTCCTCAGTGCTGAAATTATAGACATGGGACACCACATCAAGATCCTGAAAGTTTCAAGAAACAACCGGAGAGCAGGAACCTGGGTGAGACTCCCTCACCAGGAACCAAGGAGAAGGCAAACTTTCAGAAGCCCCTATTGCTGATATTCCCAACACCCTCCTAAACTTCCCCTAAGACTCTTGAACAAGGCATCCTAGAGTGACAAGCACTATCTTGTATACACACTGGAAAGGGGCCTTAGCGAGGCACCAGTCCTCTACCACTGAGCACCTGGATGCCCCCACATAGCTCAGAGCAGTGTCTGGGCCAAGTCACATGCTGGAGTCAGGGGAACCAACTCAAACACATGCTGATCACTCTTTCCAGCATCAGAGTGACAACTCTCATGTTTCCTTCTCCAGGTGGGTGAGTCTTCTACAGAAGGAGAGAGACAGAAGAACTAGAAAGGACAGAAAGTGAGAACGCATTGTCTACACCACTATCCAACCTTATAGATGGGAGACCTTAGTCAGTCAAAGCAGGGAATGAAGGGACAGCCATGTACAGAAAGGGCCAACTATCTAGAGATTGTAGATTTCTGGTTAGGAATCACTGGTCCTGTGCTTCTCACATGGGCCAAACAGCAAAGTAAGGAATGAAGTGCCTTGTTGTGGCATTCTGTGCACTCTGATGAGCCCCAGAGGACCCAGGCCTACATTCAGGAAAGAGGTCTGCAAGGAAAAAGAGGAAAATGAAGGAGGTTGTCTTGGTTAGTTTTCTTTCATTGCTGAGACAAAATACCCAAACACCTAAAATGAAGGAAGGAAAGGTTTATTAAAACTCACATTTGTGGAGCTTTCAGTCCATACTCAGTTGAGAAACAAACAGTTCATGGCAGTGACAGATACCAAAAGCAACACGGGCAAAAAGGAAGGAGCTTGAGAGAAGACTCTTTCTGTCCTTTATGTTGTATGTAGGCCACACTCACTTGGGTGTAGCACTCACACCCATAATCTCATCCTTGGACCAGGAATCAGTCACACATTTTAGAAGCCTGCCCACATGACTGCATGAGGTTTGGGGGGACATCTAAACACAAACCATAACAGTCCTCTCCTGGCTCCTCAAAGACTCATGTACATTCCTTATGCAAAATACAATTAGTCCATGTCCAAGAGTTGCCAATGTCCTTACAGTTTCAGCACTGCTGAAAAGTCCAATTCCCAAGTCTCTTCCAAGATCTAAGGAAGACTCTTAGCTGGGAGCCCCTATACAAATGAAAAGTTAAACACTTCCAAAATTCAATGGCACAAGATAAACATTATCATTCAAAAGGGTACAATAGGATGACACAAAGGATTGGGACAAAAGCAAGTCAAAAATGCAACAGAGCAAACATTAGGTCCTGTAGTTCCATGTCCAGCAAATGAAACGATCTGGTTGTGAGCTCCAATGGGCTTGAGTGACTCCACTCCCGTGGCACTTCTGGTGGCTGTAGCTGCCACTGCTTTTCTCAGGCTGGCTTTGCTCCCTCCTTACAGGTTTCCTTAGAAGATCCATGCTCCTAGCTTTTCTAAACTACATCTTTCACTTCACACACTGTCCTCTCAGGGGCACACTGTCTGGCCTCCCAGCCCTTCTGAAATCAGGGTGGAAGCCTTTTAAGCCTCAGATCTCTTGCATTCTGTATATACCTAAAACCAGTATCAAGCAGACGGAGCAATGGCCACAGGCAAACCAACAACAATACTTCTTCCTCTCTGGTTCTCCTTTTCATGCTGTTGGCATCAATCCTCAGCACCAACACACTGATTCAGTTTAGCTGGTTGTTACAAGTTGACCACCAGTTGTCAATCCACCACAGATGCCTCTCCAGAGATCTAGAATGAAGACTCAGGTTGCGTGAAGTTTCCTTTGAAGGTCATTGCCATTCAGTCATAACCAAGCTGACACCCTTGAGCCTGTCGCCCTCTGGTGGTGAGAAAGTAGGGCTACAGCATGAGTGAGGTGGGAGCATCCACCCTGGGGGGGAACCCTCACTTCAGCCCCGCTGCTTGCCATTGCTGCTATCCCCAGACATGCTGAACCTCATAGGAGTAGGGCAAGAGCCAAGCCTCTCTGACCACATTGCCTCTAAGGAGGGGTCAGGTTACGTCTCCTGTTGACAGGCAAAAGATCTGCACTGGGAAGGCCCAAAGGTTAGTGTGGAAGCTAGAAAGTCTGCAGCAGTGGGAAGAAGGATCTGTTCCAGCAGGCTGAGGGGTCTATACTGGAGCCAGGAAGCCAGGCTCAAAGCACTTACAGACTGAGATATGCACCCCTCCTTCCCATTCTAATCATATGTTCAATTCTGAAGACTGAAACTAGTGAACCTTGCCTCCTTAATACACTCAAGTGTGGGGAGCCTTGGAGTGTGAAGAGGAGGAAAGGAAAGCTTTTCATCTGTTGCAGGAAAATTCCCAATCCAAGCCACACCAAACCTAACCAAACCAAACCAAAAGGAAGACTCTGCACTGAGGAGATAAGAAGGCAACATTTAATCTTTACACTAATGGACTGTTAGATCTTCAAACTAGTGGGCTATTGCGGGATAATTCCTCAAAGGCAACAGTGCTGAATTTAGTAAGAGTTTAGTTTATACAGAATTTAGAAAGCAAGTGACAAAACATATATAATTGGTTACATAAACTGAGTCATATATTGACAGGTAGGCTAGTCTTGAAACAAAAGAATTCTTTATCATAATATAGAAACATTCAGGGAACAAGGGTAGGGGACCCTTACACAGTGAGCATATTTAAGGGCATTACCATTATATACGAAGATTCTGGGGAGGGGCCCTTGAATTCCCTCAGGGTGCCTAAAGGTATAGACAATTACTCTGACTCAGTGCTCACCGAGGTGTGCAGCTGGGCTGTAGACACTGTCAAGGTCAATTGAATTCAGGACAAACAGCAGAACACAAACTTAGTCAAAGACTTCTAATTGATTATAAAATAGTATAAGCATTCTGTTTTATAAATGTGTTCTTACATTATAATTGTGCCCCAACACCACTTTCACCCTATAATCACTTTTCTCTCCAGCCTCTCTCCTCTTTTCGTGGCTGGCTGTAAGAGTGCCCGGCCATGGAATTGTCTGCAGTTCTGTAACCTGCTCTGCACATGAGCCAAAAACAGAATATTTCACCTTAATCTTATGAGAGAAATCAAATCCTCAAGATAGCATGTATATATGTAATAAACAGCAGCATGTAAATACATATATACAGTGTTCATTGTCCAAATAAACATGAAAATAAGTGGAAAGGAAAGGAAGTTGAATCCTATGAAATGGAAAAAACTAATGCATGAAATGGACTAAAAGCTTTTTCTTGGGAAAACAAACCACAATTTTTCCCTTGCATTGCACATTGCTAACCTGTTGCTTCAGAGACGCACAAAGTGAATACACTGGTGTCAATGTTACCGCTGCTTTTGCTTGTGTTTGCGATGAGAGTCAACAGCCAGTCTATATGTTGTCCATCACCACGTCCTTCTCAAAGAAACTACAGGAGAAAAGATTTCTTTTGCTGTACCAACTGTTACTGTGTTATATTGTGTTTAAAATATGTGTGGTTATTGCAATCTGAGCAGAAGCTGTGGACGTCTACAAAAAGTCAGGTATCTGTTTCCTAACCTGTCATTCGTAGCAAAGTCTCCTTTATAACCACTTAACCACAGTGCTTGATTATCATATTAAAAGCTGAATTCTGAATGTGTTATTATGGTATTAAGCACAATATGTCACTGAGTTTAATGCTGATTTTTTATAGTTTTTTCAAAAGCCAGCCTATGTACTAAATTGCTTCTAGGTAATTTTTTATTTCCTAAAGTGCACTGAGGTGATCAAGAAGACGGGGTGTATCTTTTGGTGATGGCTGCATTGAACAGCAGTGAACAGCTTACCACTGTACAATCCTATTGTTAAAAGGCTCTGGGGGCTCTTTTTCCATTCCTCATAACAGAGCAGAAATGATAGGTTTTTGTTGTGTGAAATAATGTTGGTGTACAGCAAAGAAACTTAAATATTTGGTGTTGGTTGAGAAGCCTAACAGATTACAAAACAAAAGAAAAGACCTGAAGAAGTAAAGCTTAATTTAACACTTCATAAGTAGCATTTATATGTATAGCATGTGATTTTGAAACTTTCAGGATGGGAGTTAATGGGCTGGGGAAGAGGAAATTTAAAGGGGTAGATAAAAGCTTTAATTTAGAAAGAAAAAATTTGAGTAAAGGAAATTGATTTGATTCAATATACTTTACTTGATTGGGTATCTTTGGACTACATTAAATCAGTTGTTAAGCTGCAGTTGAGTTATCCAGGTGAGAATGTTGATAAGCCACATGTAAGCGCATTATGAATCGCTTGCCAGTTGTACTTTATGGAGCTTATTTCATCCTTTAAAATACTATACTGTACATAGGAGGCATACTGACTTCACCTTATTTGTCTGTTTGGTTTTTCATTTTGTTTTGTTTTGTTTTGGTACCTGGGATTGAACTCGCAATCTTGCACCAGGCAGGTGCTTACACCGCTGAGCTTAACGCCCAGGCTTCCTTATTTGTACGTTTACCACATATCTTGATATTTGAAATATCAAGATATTTTGTACTGGAAAGGTACTTATATTTCTAGAGCAGATTTCATTTTATGCAACCTTTTTTCTGAATGAACAGCAATTAAAAATGAAAAAAATTCAGGAGACCTCACACTAAATAGGAAGCTGTTGCTCTGTTCTCTGTATGAGTGACATGAGCCATGTCAGTCTGGGCTCTCCTCAAGGGTTCTTCTTGGTCTTCCTTGTTTCCTCAACATTCCCAGGCCTGACCCAAAACTCCATATAAGTTTTTCGATGGATGGTCCTTAAAACATTACCTAGAACCTCATTAATATGTACTATATACTTTAGCAAACAATATTGGGGCAAACAATAGCTACTTATGAGGCTAAGCAAGTTGAAAGCCAACCTGGGAAACTTAGCAAGACTCTATCTCAAAAATAAAATGCAAAAGACCAGGTATATAGCTATGTCTGTGGTAGAATTTTTGCCTAGCATGCAGGCGGCCCTGGGTTCAATCTGTAACACCAAAAAAAAAGTACAACTTTAATATTTCTACGTATTAGTTAAATATGAAATGAATGGCTCTGCAATGGGGGCCATAACTTCCTGGTCATTTTTCAAACATATGAGGCTGCCTAATGCATTCATATCTTAAAGTTTTATAAAAGGAAAGGAAATTAAGCTACTAGAGAGGTACCTCACAACTGGTTGTATGTAGCCCAGGAATCTCTGTAGCTTTCTGTCTACACATTTTCAGTTCAGAGACTTGAGAACATCATCACAACATGCAACAGGTCTCAGGAAGTCAAGGATAATTCAACTTGCTACCTTGCACACAAGAGTTGCTCAACAAAGGCTGAGCAGGAAACGGAAGATTCCAGTCCACAAGTGACTGAATCAGTGCCACTTGAGGAACGTGAGAGTAGAACAGACGCAGGGACTTGAGGAATGACACTGGTCAAAATTACAATGACTTTAGAGGGAGGGTTGGTCACACAGGAATACTAAGCAAAGAAAGGGATTTGGGACCTGCCTATCCCCACTCTTTGCTTGCACATTCAGCTGTCTAATTCTCTGAGCTTGATTACTAGTAAATTTTGGAAAAGAAATAACTGTTCCTCATTTTGTAGCAGGAAGCCGGAGAAAAGACAGAGATAATTCAACTTCTACTGTCTACTCATTTTATAAATCATCCTTCTCTTCCTTTGAATTTCATGATGATGCCTGACTCTTTCCATCACACCTCACTTATCTTACAGGCATTGTTTCAAATCATAGGGCATGGGTGATCTCTTCAAGTACCAAAACCTTTCTATTCTAAAACAAAAGCAATAAAAAGAAAGCCAAAATTTCAAGATGAACAAAGAAACTGGTTTTTATGTCCTCTGCCAGGATGCCTGTCAAGGAACCTTCCTCCCAACCAATACCTAAGGCCCAAGGGAATAGACTGGTACTTCTTCCCACACCACCCAACACTCTATCCCAACACTCCAAAACCCAGGTCATTTCTATGCTGTGGGAAGGTAGACAGTAGCCATAACTGATACATAACATCAGGAGGAAGGCAAGGGGCAAATGAGGTGTGGACTATGCATTCTACCACAGCCTCCCAGCCACTGTGGGTGTGTGGATCCCTCCCAGTTGGCCATGTTGCTCAGAGACATTAGCAGCTACCTAAGTCAGCTGGGCATCAGTGGGTGATGCTGAGTTCCTACTCCTCAACAGAAGTCCTTGATTCTTTCCTCTCCCTTCACCAATCTTGAGTAATATTTGAGAAAAAGCCTTTGCACCAAGAAGGTGGGATAGGTACCCTGGTGTGTGAGAGCTGACTTCCTCCACCCACTGCCCTTCCCTGACATGTCACAACCCACACACACTATGCATCTTCTCCAACCACACACGAAAGAGTTGGCTTTACAGAGGTTCTGCTGGCTTTAGGGAGCTCAAGTACACAAAGAAATCCACCAGGAATGAGGGCATGTAGCTCAAGGGGAGGTAAAAGAGCTTGATATCCCAGCCAGCTAAGTACCAGGTGCAAGGGTGACAGGCGGTCAGCACATGTTCCATTCAATCTGTGACTGAAGATAGCCCTGATTTCCACACTTTCTCCAATAATTGCAGGTAACTGAGGTCTACAAGAAATGAGAAATGATCCAAATATATTTCTACCTCCCATCATTCCTGCTCTAGGACCAATGTAAGGAAAAAGTTTTCACTAAAAATTCTGGATCCCCACCCTCAGAAACTTTGCCTAATGAAATGTATGTTGGGATGGAGGGGTATTCCTAGCAGTAACAATATACACATGAAAGCAGGCAGGAGAAGCAGAAAACCCTAACCCTAAACATGACTATAATTTTCTCAAAAACAAAAACTATATCATTAAATTTTTTCTCCTCAGAATCTACCTATGTGCCCAACACAAATTATATTAGTCAGGATTAGTCAGGGAAACAAAACCAATAGGACAGATGGAATGAGATCTGAAGAGGGAGTAGAGAAATTAGCTCATGCAAATACAAAGGCTGAGAATACTCACAATAGGCAGACTGCAATCTGGAGGTCCTGCAGTGCCAGCCACATGGCACAGTCCATTTCCACAGGCAAGTCAATGATGTGACTGTCAGTCTAAGAACAAAGGTCTAAGATCTTGGGTGGAGACACAGGGCAAGTCCTGGCATTAAAGTTCCTGTTGTCCTGATGCCCAAAGAAAAAGAATGTGCCAGCTACAAATATGAGGAAATTGCCTGACTTCTGACCTTTGTGCTCTACCTGGGTCCCTACTGATTGGGTAGTGCCTGCCCACACTGAGGATGGTTCTTCCTCATTCAGTCCACCAACTCACACCAATGTCCGCTGGATATACCTTCCCAGACATACACAGGGATAATGTTTCCTCTCTTCCTTAAATATTCCTTACTCTACCAAATTGATTTGAAAGATAATCATCATACATAAATCACTGACTATTTGTGGAATAAATACATGAATTAAAGGAGGACTGGAGGAAATATAACTATCCAGAAGATATCACTCTTCTAGTTAAAACATTTAGAACAGCAATCAGGGCCTGGAGGGCATTCCTAGCACTTGAGGCTGAGGCAAGAGGGTCACTGCAAGTTCCAGGCCAGCCTGGGCTACATAGTTCAAGGCCAACTTTAACTACATAGCAACACCTTGTCTCAAAAAAATAAGTAAAATAAATTAGACATGCATGTGTAAACATCATATTGTCTTGCTAGTGTGAGAAGCTGAAAGAAATATATATATAATATATATATAGTTAAGATAGTTATACTACTGATTTCTCTGAGTTCATTGAAGAGAGGTTTGTGTTTGTATTAGTATTTTACAGACAATTAAAGGCAAGATGTCTTGTACTCTGAGTAACTGAAGCTAATCTAACACAATGTATATACCATTTTTACCTCCTAATTGTCACGTTTTAAACTTTTATTTTTTCTTTTTAAAATAAAAAAGGAAATAAATAAATAAAATAAAATGGCAATAGGCATAGGATTGCAAGAGCAATCATTAAATAAATGTTTATGTCTACGGGGAACTTGAAGAGATAGACTTGGGACTGATAAGTATACGAAAAAGGCTAGATGTCACAGATAAGCAGTGTAAGGCCAAAGAGAAAAGGGTTTGGCCACCAAGTAAATGAGCTCACAATGGGAAACTAAAAAGACTAACAATACTTTTTCAGAAGACTTTGGGATAGCAACCCCTAAGCCAGAGTACTTGTAAGGAATAGCTTTCTCATACTGAGTGCTGCTGGGCTGTGGACTGTGTGTAGCAAACACTCCCTACTTTATCTCATTTAATCTTCATATCAGCCCCTCACAGAGATATACCATTGATGTTAGAGATTAAACCCTTGTACTATGCAGTCAGGCTATCTAATTCTCCATTTACTTTCACTCCAATTTACTACTGTATCTGAGTGTCTTTGGACAAACTGAGCTTGGCTATTTCCCCATCTGTAATATAGGGATAATATTATCATCTACTGCATAGAGGAGTAAGTACTTCAATTTAAACAGTATTCAATGGCAGGGCAAATGTTCTATAACTATTAAGTATTATGATTCCCTGTTTCCTACTAAAAGAATTAATGCAGACTAAATCAAGCAACCTCTCAGCCCATTCAGGCTACCATTACAAAATACCATATACAAGATGACCTATAAACAACAAAATTTGTTTCTCACAGCTCTGGAACTAGAAAATCTAAGACCACGTTGCCAGCAGATGCAGTATCTGGATGGTGCCTGTAAGCTGTGTTCTCTTATGATGGGAGGGAAAGGCAGCACTTCAGAGCTTTATAAGGGCTTTTATCCCATTCATGAACTAGGGACTTCATGAACTGATCACCTCCAAAACCTTCCACCTCCTAATTCTATCACATTAGTGATTAGATTTCAACATAGGAATTTTAGAGAGACAAAAGCTCTTAGTAGTAATGAAAATGAGGGGAGACCTAAATAAATACTCTCCCTTCATTGGCTTTTAGTTATTTGCTTTTATCACCAATTTTATAGGTCACATAGCTAAACAATATGCTCTTATTAGCTTTGCTATAGATCATGGAGTTTTACTCATAATTATTAAAATCAACCAAGATGGCTTTGGAAGTTGTCTACTTCTATCCTAAATTATGCTTGTTAGTAGTCCTAATGTAAATTCTCATATTTAAATCCAAAGGAAAAACAGTATTAATGCATCTCGCTTTTCTTAATCCTTTCAGGGTGTTTAATGATAAAACAAAATGTGAAGTTGACTTGTTAATGATCATATTGGAACAGCTACTTCTTTTGGATTCAAATGGTCATGAAAAAAGTATTCCACAGTGCCACCTCTATTGATGTCTTGGTGAACAAACCATGTGCAATGCTGTGATTTGTGAGTTGCACATGCCCTGAACTAAGCATTTTATGAGGGCTATAAAAAACTTATAGCTTAAAAATACATGCAATATTGACTGAAAACAGGCTGAATAGTACTGCTGGAATCCAAATACTCTTGCATTTGTTGGTTTTACATGATACAAATGTCCAATTATTTAGTTATCTTATTGTTTGATCCTTTTAAATTTTGTAATAAACCTTTGGTGTAGCATACTTCAAAGTGCATATTTAATTTCAAAATTAAAACTTCATTTTCTTCAGTTTTCTTTATTACTACATGCTTGCATTGCCCAATGATTACATTCTTTGTGAGGAACTGGTACATGAATATAATACAGCTGCATTCTTTTTTTTCACACCCTCCCCTCCCCTTCCTCTGCCCTCCATCTCTTGGTCCCCTTTCCTTTGGTAAAAGCTCTAACATTCTTTTTCCTATTATATATCTTTTATTTTGCTTTTTATTTATATTTTTGTTTTCTCATATAAGAAAAACCATGTGATCTCTAAGCTTGTGTTTCTTCATTTCTTTAGAAGATCTATAACACATATAACTTGCACAGAATATTTGTTGACCAGGATACACAGTGTGTGCACCTGAAATGAGGAGGGAAAATTACCAATTGACAGAGTGCTTTTTGTTCAGCTCAGACCACAAATTGACCTAGCACAGCTCCCTCTTTGTTACTAGCTACAGACTCTGAGTGCCAGTAGCTCTCAGCTCTTAGTGTTACAGCTCAAATATTTGAATGCTAGTACCTCTTAGTTCTTAGTGTTACAACTCTTTTTTATTTTACAAATCTATAATTTTATTAAATTAAGACAAAAACTGACAGTGTGACATGAATTTTATATTTAAAGGAAGTTTTCACATAAATGTTACAAGTGTGTACAAGAATTTTACAGTGTAGCTCCAGACAATGTTAAGAACTGATGGATCTCATGACTCAAGGCAGAGCACTTGCAGTATCAGTGTTAGTTCTTTTTGTTCTTAAATGTTGCTGCTTAAGTTTTTTTTTTCAAATTTTGTTTTGCATTTTACAGTGAACCACTGCTCCATTGTAAAAGTTATTCTCCTGAGACCAGGGTTTTTGAAATCACTCAACCTTTGAACTGACTCAGTAAAACTTGTGCTGTTGATGACTGAAACTTGCCACTAATGGTTTCAAAGTTCAAAGCTGAAAGTACTAAGGCTCCAACATTTCTGCATTAAGAATACAGATGAACACATTTTGCTACTCTTCCATCTCCTGTACTTCCCTCATTCCCTCTCCTAAAACTTCAGCCAGTAGTTTGAATGGGCTGACTGATACTCATAACTTCATAATGGGAAAAGGGTATTTTGTTTCATTTCGAAATTAGGTTGGGTTGGCCAGGGATTTAGCTCAGTGGCATAAGCGCCTGCCTGGCAAGCACAAAGTTGTGAGTTTGAGCCCCAATACAAAATAATAATAATAATAATAATAAAATTAGGCCAGGTGTGGTAACAAATACCTGCAATCCCAGTACTCGGGAGGCTGTGGCAGAAGGACCATGATGAGTTTGAGCCAGCCCAGGCTACATGGTAAGTTCCTCTAAGTGGAATGATCTCTTTGTGTATCCTTTTTAATAAAAGACTTTCCCTTTTCGTTTCTATCTGTAGAATGGTAGCTTTGGCAATTCACAATCTGGTTTAGTTCTTTGTAGTCAACAATAGTAAGCTCAGGTAGGGAACATCTTGACTTACATAGGTTTCAGGCATTCACAGTTTTTAAGCACTCTTACAGTCTGCATTTATGGTACAAATGGCATTTTATTTTTGGTTCGCTGTTTGTTTGTTTGTTTGTTTGTTTGTTTGTTTTGAGACAGGGTCTCACTATGTAGTTCAGGCTGGTCTTGAACTCACTATACATCCCAGCCTGGACTCAAACTCATGGTGAACCTCCAGCTTCAGCCACCCAACTCCTGGGATTACAGGCGTGCAAAACCATGTTGAGTACATTTTTTTAAAAGGTCAAGTATTCCAGGCATAGAATCAAATCGGTAGCTTTCTGGTGGGGTAGTAGATGCTGAGATTACCCACTACCCCACCAGAAAGCTACCTACAGTTTGCTGAGGGAGATTCTGCACAGATCTGAACTGTTTCTCCACGTGTTGTCTACTGGTGAAACCAGAGAAAACTCTGGAAGTGGACTTTGTTTTCTTTTCTTTTCTTTTTTTCTTTTTCTTTCTCTGTTTGTTTGATCTTGTTTTGTATGAGTGTGAACGTGGTTCATAGACTTGTGGGTGTGATTCCATTTGATTCTTCTTTTTATCTCCTTCATCTCTCTTTTCCTTTAGTCTTTTGCACCAGTTTCCCAAAGTTGGCATGACTCCCCTTTGTCATACAACCTTACTTCTAATCTCTTTCTCCTCTTTTTCCATTTCTCTGTTTTCTCCTTAATCCATTTTAAATTGTAGTCCTTGAGGCAAAAACTGACTTGTATACTGCACATAATATTCTGGTTTGTTTTGGATTTTGTTATATAATTATAAATCTAGTTCATACAGTTAAAAGTGGTGAATTAACTTAGTTTGTCATTTGCTAGAATGTGTCTGATGCTATTAGCACCACTATATGCCAAATGGACATAATTGTTCTAAATAGCTGTTCATTCCAGTATTCTATGATGGAGATTGAATGAGAATCACAGAAAATACTATGGCACAATGCCAAAGAACCACAGACTGAGCCAAACAAGCAACAACTTCTCATCTCCAACAAACTGAAGAGGTAAAATCTTCCA